AAAGAAAATCCTGACACATGCTCCACAGATGAACCTTGGGATCATTAGGCCAAGTGAGATGAGCCATTCACAAGAAAGAAACACGCGCTGCAGGTTCCTGCCGCGGAGATACCAGAGTGGTCCAGTTCACAGACCCAGTTCACAGACCGAGGCCAGCATGGCGGCTGCTGTGGGCTTGCAAGGGAGGAACGGCGAGTTATTGTTTGATGGGCACAGAGCCACCTCCACATTAGCGCCTGATGGGCAGAGAGTGGGGTCGGGTACCCCGAGAGGGCCCCCTTTGCCTGGACAAAGCAGGATCCACTTCTGGCTGCCTTGCTGCAGTAGCTGGACAGGATGGGCCAGTGGACACTGATAGGCTGCGGAGACGTCTGACCGGCCGGGCGTTGCTGGAGGACGCAGACCTTTCACCTGGACACTTGCTTGTGGCCTCGTGCAGGCACAGATGTGTCTGCCACCGTGGAGCTCAGTGAGGGGAGGAGCGCTGGGCGTAGGACTGGCCGGAGACGACTCTCCGTCAGTTCTGACACCAACACGAGCAGAAGGCTCCCGGCAGTGACAGTAGTGGAACAGCGCAGTGCCAGCAGGAAGACGCCTTTGGTGACCTTATCTCGCGGCCTGGAGAGCTCTTGAGGCTGGAGTTCCGGCCAGGGCCTGCAGATTCGTCCTGCGATGCCTGCAGTCAGCGTGCCAGGGCTGCTAGTCAGGAGAGGCAGGAGGGACCCCAGTCCCTCTGGACTCACTTTACACACAAGTGGGTTTTTAGCTCTATCATGAATTCTTTGGAAATTTACTAATGCAAGACCAAGCCTGCTGTACCAATTAGAACATCTGTAAGGTATTATCAGTCGTGCCTTATTTTTCTGCTGAAGCTCCTTCATATAAATTTGAATGTGGTCCAGCGTGTGGGGTGCTACCGTGTAGTGATGTAGACCCACCTGGATGACACGCCCCACGCAGGCTTCATCTTGGTGGAAGATTTAACAGGCCTCAGGTGTCTGCCGTTCGCTGTCCTCATGAATGGCGGGGGATGTCCAGCGGCTGTTTTCTGTCTTTAATTTGGGATAAACCCTGCCCCCAAATCCTTGTCATACATTCCAACTTTTGCTACTTAGACTTAAAAGTCTTGTACGTTATAAGCTTAGCTGTGTAGAAAGAAAGCTGACAGGAAAGGAGTAAGGGGGCGTATTAAAATAGTTTGTTTTTAACTGTGGGCTCCTAGATGGTTTAATTTTGTGCACATGCGTCATTGCCTCCCAATTTTTGTATATGTACGCTTCCACTCAAAAACAGGAGTTACACTAATGTTTAGAATATTGACACACCCACCTTGCCACGCGCGCGCTCCTGCTTTTACTAATGCCCAGCGGAAGCCCGGAATGGGGGTGACAGCACGCCGCTGCCGCGCTCGGAGCACGCGTGCTTCCTTCCCGCCGGCTTTCCAGACGCTCTCCAGGGAGCGGGAGAC